CAAATCTAGTCGTTGTATTGTTATGCTTCTAAAATATTTTTTTTTTAAATAAAATAAATTAAATAGAAATATTATGTGTATTTTGTATGTGGAAACATGGCTTGCCCACTAACAAATATAAAGAAGTGTGGTCTGCAGTTCTTTTTTTTATTTTTTTTTTATTTGTGAAAAAAACTGGAGTGTAAACAATAAAACACTCACAGTGCAAGGCTAGTTCACCAACATGTCTATTCTCTTGCTTGAGTGTGAAAGTACATGGTTTAGTGACTACCTCTCATATTTTTAAATTTTAGAATTTTTTTTATTTGGGAAGGTTCTTCTATAAAAAATAGAACATATATATATATATATTAGGTAATTACTAAAATATGTTTGGATATTTAGAGTACTAACAAATTCCCACTTCCGGTCCGGTTAGACTTAAAATACACCACGAATATTCACTTTTGAGATATAATTTTTGGTATGTATTGGTTCTTGGATATTTCAGCTTCGTCGTCCTGTACTTCATTTAGTAATTCGAACTTCCCAGATTGCGTAAAAACTTCATCGAAAACGCCTTAGGTAACGACCGCTTAGGTACGTGTAGACTGGCAAAGTCGGGATTTGAAAATAAAATTGTAGTCCTTTTAGCGTGATCGCGAAAACTAACCTGACCGCTAAATAAATCCCGACTGGACGCATGTCTGGGCATTTGACTGCTATTAATTATTCATGATGTCATTGATTATTCATGAGTGGGTGTGTGAAAGTAAATATGAACCCCCTTTAAAGGTTGATCCGATTCCATCGCAGAGATGGATACTTTAACTTTCTAGATTGCGTAAAAACTTCATCGAAAACGCCTTAGGTAACGACCGCTTAGGTACGTGTAGACTGGCAAAGTCGGGATTTGAAAATAAAATTGTAGTCCTTTTAGCGTGATCGCGAAAACTAACCTGACCGCTAAATAAATCCCGACTGGACGCATGTCTGGGCATTTGACTGCTATTAATTATTCATGATGTCATTGATTATTTATGAGTGGGTGTGTGAAAGTAAATATGAACCCCCTTTAAAGGTTGATCCGATTCCATCGCAGAGATGGATACTTTAACTTTCTAAGTGCGAAGGCAATACTTTCATCCATGTTTACCGAAAACAAGTCGATATAAATGTCCAACGTATATAAAGTAGTCTCTCAAAATCGCCGGGACTCAGAAGTGAAAGGTCACGTACATTAACATAGATAAGATATGATGTATACAATTGCACTCTGATTCGTTGTCAGTGCTGGTAAACATTCCGCTCCGGTTTTCACTCCAACGCAGGGGGTCGCCTGCAGATGCATCCAGATGGGATTTCTTTCGCGGCCACGCTAGTTTTTGCGATCACGCTAAAAAGGCCAAATTGACAATTATTTTTTTTATGTAAAACAAAAATGAAGTCCCGACTTTGCCAGTCTAAGGTACGTGCTCTGTAGTTTGTAGCACATGAACCTAAAAACGTTAGGTAATCAAATTCACAAGAAGTTGACTATCCCTTTAATTAGTTGTATTTCAATGCATTAGTAATAATGTAAATATATATATATATATATATATATATATATATATATATATATATATATATATATATATATTCATATTTATATATTTCTTTATTTCATTGTTGAGACTGACTTATACATTTGTTACGTACTACAATTTATCTATATTGAAAAATGGTTATTGGGATTATTAATTTTAATAAACAACATTCAATATCCTTTGCAATACCAATAAGATCATAATGATAATGTTTCTTGGTTTTTGAAACTGTGGGCATTATCAGAGCATGGGTCTTATTTTGGAACTCCTGCCAGAGCAACTGCACAAATCATAAGGGCAAATAAATAGCTTCTAAGGATGGTATTCCCAGAATAGCGCAAGTTGTTATAGAAACATAAAACTTTAATTCTCAACAACTATGAAAGGACCAGTTATTGCGACAAAGCCCTACTGCCGGCGAGACCCACCCAATACGAAACCCACTTACCGCGAAAGCCACTTAATGAAATAAGGTTAAAGTGTAACTGAATTGGGACAATTGACTTTTTTTGTGTGCAAAATTTATTTATAAACAACATTATGAAAAAAAAATCAAGTGAAAAGGGTATATAAATTGGGTAAACAGTCAATGATATTCCGTGTCGCTTTCCGAGCACTGCATACGTATAGCGGCCATTGTGAGACGATGACAAGTTCCCCCCGTGACGTCACAAAGTACCCTTGTATGCTAATTAGGTACTCTAGTTGGAGCCTCGCTCTGAGTCGACCAAGAAACTGAACGTGGGCGTGTCCTTATCCAGAACATTATTATTGATCGTTTACTTAATTTATGTACATTTTTCACTTGATTTTTTTTCATAATGTTTTTATAAATAAAATTTGCACACAAAAAAAGTCAATTGTCCCAATTCAGTTACACTTTAAGTAGTCCATGCTGCTTACCGCCATGCCTTTGTTGCTAGGTGTCGTCTGTTAATGGTTAAACTGAATGATGAAATAAACCTCTTCCACCAAAGTCACGTGATATTTTAGGAATGTGTGGCATTGAAAATGTTTTAATTACAATACGTGACAAATGGAACTTTACTCAGAGTAGGTGTATGAAGTTTAAAACTTTTAAAGCGATAACAAATCTAGTGAAAAGCAACCATATTTCTAACTGCAGGAGCCATACAGGTTGGCATCGGCGTTCGGAGTTCTTTGTTGTTATCTGTTCAATACAATAATAAATATGATGGTGTCAAAGGTCAGGTGATACATGCTCTATCCATGTACGCATGATAGGTGTCTCAAATACAATCGTTACACAATTTTATTAGAAATTCCAGCATTATAATAATTCCGAGGTTTGGTGTTTACTTGGTTGGATGGGCTTTTAAAATCTTAGTTTCTTTCGGAGGCGGCGTATACGACTTAGGCATCGACGCAACGTGCGCAGAGTGAATGGCCTGACGAATATTTTATTGATATCATATTTGCATTGGTGCAGCGCAGCCACTATTTGCCGTGACTGCCCTTAGTAGCACTATCAGTATACTATCAGTACTACTAAGGGCGGTCACCGTCAGTTACGTATCTGCCTACGGCTGGTATAAACACACTCGTGTAACATCAGCGATTCAATCAAACGATGGCAAAAAGGGGGGCAATAATTTGCGGCGCGATCGCTGTTCTCGTCGTTATCGCTGCCGTTATACTAATAGTTTACTTTACACTGCCAGAAGATGAAGAGTCAGTCTGTCCTTCCAGCACAATCGACGCCAATCGTTTCGACTGCTACCCCGAAGACGGCGCTGATCAGACAAAATGTGAGGAACGGGGTTGTTGCTGGCGTGAACCAGAGGATGACGCAAACGCGCCGTGGTGTTTTTACCCCACAATTTACGGATATGAAGTAATACGTGAGCCTAGTCCAATACCACTTGGTATAACTTTAAACCTACAGTGGTTAGATGACATTCCCAGACGATATCCGTATGGTGTCAGCAATACCGTAGAGAAACTACAAGTAGACATTGAACACCAAACTGACTCCAGATTGCGTATCAAGGCATGTGTAAACTCATTAATTCATCAAACGTCATAATGTTGGTAGAATATTTTACACATTTGGTGTATTTTTCATAATTTTCTATACATTTTTAGACATAATCATTATGGGCCTAATTGCTAAATGGCTACTGTTTAAAAAAAAACCGGTGAATGGTGACACAACGTGTTATTACTAAACACTGGACGCTCACCGCATGATTGGGCGGTCAGTATTTATTTAGTATATGTGTATCTAAGAATATAATATGAGCTTCATGTGAATATGTTCATGTTGCTGTATATTTAAACGGACACTTAATACCGTGGTCTAACTAAAAAAAGTTACGTCAGCGGGTAATTGAACAGATAAGGACCCGACTGACTCGTAGATAGGCAATGTTTCGGTTGACCATATATATTAACGTCTTTTGTGTACTTTTTCTATCGAACAATAATACTAGTAATTAACAATTCTAGGTCCTGGAAAATGTAGTAATATTATACATATATAATATATAAACTTTTTGGAACATGGAGCTAATCTCCTTTTAGCTCTATGTTGGAATCAATCGGCATATTTCGAGATTAACAACGTATACAGGTAAATAACAATATAAACTGCCTTAACATTTCACACACATTGCGAACATGCCGACTTTAAAATGAGATAAACTTAAATACAGTTATATTTAGAACACCAATGCACTTACAACGCCATATGCGAATGGTGTTGCCTCCGCCTTATTTGTGCCCATTTATGACAGCGCAAGGTGTCCTTACAAAACACGTGTGTACCCGCTGTTTAGTGGGAGTAATTGTTTCCTTCACAATTCCAACCTCTGAACTGTTCATCAACGCTTTATTTTATCAAAAGGGGTTTCCACATGTCAGAGTTGTTTTTATGTGTCAATTATTGATAGGTTAATGACACCTGCATGGACGACTTTTTGAAGAGGGGCGTTGGTCTATATAAACTGATAAGTTAACTACAATTTACACTCGTTTTACTGGCAGCGTTCGTTTTGCATTGAAGTATGCTTAGATAAACATTGGCGTGATTGTTATCAGTTTTGAAACATTTTTGACAAACCCGTAGACATTTTTATGGTCGTTAAACTAAAACTTTGAACGAAACTCTTGTTTTAAATGTAATTAGAGTAAAACAGATGTATTTGATAAAGGCATCCGCAATCTGACTGGAAGATACTGGATATATTAAGTGATACACGGTTTTGTCGTAATTACAATGACACGCATAAACTAATTGTTTAAAAGAGTAAACGTTTTTTTTTTTTTGCTTTTGAAACCAGATATATGACGAGACTACGGATCGATTTGAAGTACCATTGCAGCTACCGAAAGTGACGGAGAAAGCTAAAAATCCACTCTATGACGTCAAATATACAGATTATCCATTCAGTCTGCAGATCACGAGGATTGACACGGGAACCGTTATGTAAGAATTGTCAATATTTTATATTAACGCGATTTGAAAAATCTTTAAAGGGCCGTAGTCGTCGCACCGCGCATGTGCGACATTTGTGTTAATAAACATTGATTTCCCCACGATTCAATGCGCTCTTCTAATGGAAATTACAAGTATGGGGTTTGACCTGGGCGCGACTTGCACTAATTACAGCTGGTGACTCCTTCGATACCCTCCAATCACCTAAAACACCTAATTAAAGCATAATACTAGTAACGTCTCAGTTTATACTCGTTGATCCGGACAACTGCCAAAGTCGCCATCTTTGTTTATACAAGACCCATATATCTCGCGCAGGCGTGGTGCGACGACTACCGCCCTTTAACGCAAATATGTCTTTAATATCCCGTCAGTTATTACTATCACATTGCAATGGGCAATAAAGGAATAGTTTATAAAGATGATCGAATTTTCATTGTTCAAAAATACACCGCCCGTCCGCTTGTATGCGCATTTGAAGGCTTGTAGACCCCAGAAAACAGAGTGGGTTGTTATATTCATTTAAATGGGAGTTGGGGATAGCTTATCCTTGTGACCGCTATTATTTGAACATTTGCCTCGGAACAATGTATATATTTACAAATGCATTTTGTTAGAGATCCGACTGATTAAATCATTCGTAGTTAACAACTTTTTCCATTTCACATGCAAATTCGACAACGTTCTCTCTCATTTAGTTTATTATGACTAAATTTCAGCACGTGTTTAAATGATAACTTGACTTTTCAGATTCGACACATCAGTTGGCGGTTTCACGTACACCAACCAGTTTATCCAGATGTCTACGAAATTCCCATCCAGTAACGTGTACGGTTTTGGTGAACACAATCACCGTCAGTATCGTCATAATTTAGACTGGAAAACATGGGCTATCTTTACACGCGATGTCGCGCCAGTGGTAAGTTCCATGTGTTTTATACGTTTCTTCGTGTCATTGTCAATGTTGCCATGTTTTCATCATTGTACTATATACAGACCGTATCTATATTTCCATTTGAAGGATGAATGGAATCTTTACGGCGCCCAGCCACTCCATATGTGCATCGAAGACGACGGCAACGCTCACGGTATTCTCTTTCTCAACTCAAATGCAATGGGTAAGGCACACCTTTGCATTTAATATACCGTAGATTTTTTTAGTTTTACCCTATAACAAAAGTAACCTCCATTCGTACATGTTACGATTTCATTTGTGTAGATATCGACCAGTTACACGCCAATACGACGGGGTAGTGGAAATGTGACCGCTTAACATAATGATTGTGAGAATCTGTAACATCGGACTCGATATCAATAAGCACACAACACGCACGACTTGATGACCGTTTTGCAAATTCTAAATCAATAGTGAACATTATTTGATTGACGCGATAGAA